TGGATAAAAAAAAGTAAATAGTTATTTCAAGAAACATACAAATGATGAGCTTTTGAACTTGGTCCACACTTGTAAATTATCTATATTTCAATAGAGTCAAGGAGATGCCTTATTTTAATTAGACAATAAGAGAACTTTATGAAGACTGAAGAGTCAGAATAGAGCCAAATAAGCATTCCTCTTTCATAGATTTAATCTGGAGGTTTAGGAGTTGAAGCACTGTGGTCGATATGCCTTGCCATCTTCTTTTCAATGTTTTGTTTTTTCATTTCCAGCCTACCTCCTGGGAAAGGCAAGAATAGTGATTTTTCTCCATATTCCAAAGCTCTATAATAGCCCAGAGTTTGGTTAGCTTTAGTCTGAAATGTCATTCACTCTCGGCACTTCTTTTCTGTTGTTTGTTTGTTTGGGAGGTGCATTCTGAGGTCCCTGAGTGTCACCTCTGAGGGCAAGGAGTTTGTGGCAGCAGAACTGCAAAGGCTGACTTGTGTGTTAATGACGTCCTCCTGTCTGCTGCTCTTAACCACAACGCCATTCACCCAGACTGTTCCTGGTGGTTTTCAGACTCAAGGCCATCACTAAAGGGAGTGGGTTCTGGCAGTATCACATTTCTGCTGTCACCATATCATCTTGGAGTGGAAATGAGCATCTGGGCAGGCAATGGGGAAAAGACATTGTAAAGAGTGACACATAATTGAAGGGAACACACAGTGGGAGGAACACCCCTAATCTTTCCTTTCTTGGAAAACAGAGACCAATTTATGGTCCGTCTGTCTCTGGGCTCATTCTGTAACTTCCTGTTGGAACTCCCTTCTTCCACATCTACAATTTCCCTTATTTGTTTTAGCACTAGTGAAAAGCCTTTCAAAATGCAGGGACCCAAAGAATTCACTGGTCTGAACTTCAAATGCCTTAGGAATCAACAACCTATGTAATCCCCATTACATGACCCTGTTTCTAGTCTTACTGGCCGTGAACCCATCATAGTGATTTGCACACAGAAGATGACAAGCACCATAAGGATACGGTTATCATAACTTTAATTGCACATTTTCTGCATTTATGATCTCTTATCCTCACCTTATTAGTGGCCCTTAATGTGTTCAGCTCGTCTTCATTGTGCTAAATGTTGTATATAATTATGTAGTAGATATAAAGAATCTAAGGCAATTTCAGAAAAGAATAGATTGGGAAACTCTTAAAGGGCAACACTTTCTTCTCCATAAGTTGTAACTTGGAAATTATTGTATTAAATAAATATTCATCAGTATTGGAAGTATTCAAGCTGAGAAAAATTTCATATTCTTGCTATTTAGAGAAATTGGAATAGGAACAGTTAGAGTGAGTTTCTTCGTATGGTGAAATAGCTTCAAGTATGATTGCAGAATGTCAGGTATTTCAGGTGTTGCAAGCTATGCGCTCTCTGTCCTAACGATGCCATGCTGTTCTACTACTGTGCAATCATACAAAATACACAAATGAATGGCCATGACTTTATTTATGAATATTTAAATTTGAATTTCATGAAATTGTTATATAGTATAAAATATTATTTTTTGAGTTTTTCCAACTATTGCTCACAGGTCCTGGAAAAATGGAGTGGACTGGATTTGGGCCAGAGGTCATGGTTTGCAGATGTCAGTTCTAAGGGAGAAAAATGAAGTCAAAACAGAAAAAAAGATTCAGAAACCTGCTTGAGCCTTTGGAATTATAAGGGTTTTGTTTGGCAAAATAATAGGTTTCATATATGTGTATGATGACTTCAATCTTATTCAGTCATCCTATTATGTCCCCTTCTCTCCTCCCTGCTAGTCCTCCTTGTATGTTCATGACTTTCTGTTTTTTGATTGCTTTGTTTTAAGTTTAGATTCTACAAACGAGAGAAAACATGATATATTTATTTTTGATTCTGTCTTATTTTGCTTAACATGATGATCTCCAGTTCCATCCATTTTCCTGCAAATATCATCCTTCCTTCTAGCTGAATAATACTCTACTCCAGGTTTATACCTTGACTTCTTTATTCACTCACTCATTGTTAGGCACCCAGGCTGACCATATGAATGACCATATGAATGGTCATTTATCAAGATTTAGTACACCAGGACAGTATTTTGCTTCTGAATTGTTGACCTCAGATTTTTGACAAAAAGCTGACCAAAAGAAAACACTTTTTGTCCTTAAGGAATACTTCTACTAGGTATATATTTGGAAGAAACCCATGAATCTACATTCATAAAATTAGATTGGATAAAAGGATTTATGCTCTCATATCAGCCCAATAAAATCAGTAATTTTATGCCAAATAGAAGAAAGATACTTCTTTTGGGGACATCTTTATGTTATGTGGTATGTGTTCTTGTGTGTGTGTGTGTGTGTGTGTGTGTATGCACACATGTGTGTACATATGTTATATGTATATGTGTGTGCATGTGTGTGTGAGTAAATGCATTTGTGTGTGTGTGTGCTTGCATGTGTGAAGGAGTGGGGTCATGGTGGTATATGTAAGAAGCTTCTTTCTAATTCAATATGGTATTAGATTGTTCAGAGAAATGGAAATGTTCCCAAGATGTCAAATCTCTTCTTTATATTAGATCAGGAAAGGAAAATAAGAAACATAGACAAACAAGGAGAGAGAAAGTGAAGGGATAGGAAAATATTTTAAGTTGATGGCACTGATTCACATTGTGGTCATGTGCCTCAGATCATGAATAAAACTAAGGTGAAATTCACTTGTGCTTCTGGGACTTATTGAAGGTGATTGACAATGGAAATATTGATCAAGAACGGCTCCTCCATACCTCTAAGGAAAAAAATGAAAGAATTAACTGAGAGCTACAAAAGCACTGACCAAAGTATAGTTAAAGGAACTGTTAAAAAAACACCTACTATCTGGGTGATAGTCACAAACACAATATTGGGTACTCTATTAATGAAAGTGTATTTCTATTGGAAAATATTTTCAATCTATGCACTCCCCTTACCAACTATTTTTCCACATGAAGTACAACTCCATTGGACAGCCTATGTTTTTAAAATACCCATGTACATGAAAAAAGAGGACATGATAAGAATTCTAATTAAAGTATTCTATTTTTATGGAGAAAAAAATGAATGACAATATTAAAATCATTAGAACACAGTGAGATTTTGCTTGTGGGATTCTTTTAAATATTGTTGTGATTTTGTCCTTATCAGTTTGGCTTGATAATTTACAAAATAAAATGTTCCTCACTGAAAGGTGGATATCAGAATCACTTTGATTCACAATTCACGTTGTTCTATCCTCCTTATTTTAGCATTGTCAAAAAGTTTCAAATCAGAGATGAGCAAGAACATACTTGTAGTTGAATAAGTTTGGTTATCCCTTAAGACGAGGACAAGAATACAAAATAGAGAACAGTGAAGTGTCTCAGCAAGAGGGCGTTAGAAAGAATCTATTTGAAGATGTAGTGTGGGCTGGCTTGGGGAAGGATGTGAAGAGTCAAGGGTTGTCCTAGATTGGATGCCATTAGAAAGTAGAGATAATTTTGTAACAAGGTAATTTTTTAGTAAGGTATTTCAGTCAATCACACCAAAAGTTTGAGGGGCTAGTACAAGGAACAGTCTATAAGTGATTTTTTTTTTTAAATTCCCACTCACTCATTTTGTCTAAAAGAGGTGTTTGGTACATTTTGGTAGCACAGTGACCTTGTTTTCTGTGCTTAGGCTAAATTATGTTGTGGCCTTCTTGGTTTCATTTTGTCTGAGGTTGGTGTCCTGGGAGATTGTGTATGTGTAGTATGAGTGTGTGAGGAACAGATTGGTTCCTGAAGGACAAGGGAAGTTTGTCTTTCTTCCTATCTCCTCTCTGCCCTCTTCACTAGCAAAACTGTAATGACCACTACTTTTTCATGACATGCTTTCCAAACTTCATTACAAATTTTTTTCTCCTTCAATAAAGTTTTTTTTTTCTTTTTTTATTGTTGTGCTGGGTAGGGGTAGATTGTGGCATTTACAAATGTTCTTACAATATATTAAATATATCATATATCAGACTTGAATTTACCCTCTTCATCATTCTCCTTTATCCCTCCTCCACTCATTCCTGGAATGGTTTCAACAGGAATCATTTTTCCACTTACATATATGTGTACATAGTATTTGCACCATATTCACCCTCCTTCACCCTTTCCCCACCTCCTCCTCCCTCTTACTGGTACCAACCTGTTTAGGCAGGACCTATTGTGCCCTCCTGTTTGCCTATTTTCATTACAAAATATTTTAACCATAGAGTAAAAGTAAAAATAATATAATAACATATCATCAAATGATTTAAGAATAAAAGATTATAGATAAAAGTATTTGGACAATTCTCTTAAATCTTCATCTCTCCTTGAAATTATTCACCTGAATTTGGTGACTATATATCATTCTCAAGAATGAAGTACTTCTTTTCCTTCAAAAATGTGTGATTTTTGCATACGTTCTCTTTCATATGTGGCCTTTAGATCTAGTGTAGATACAACAATATTGTAGGACTTGGGTTACATGACAAGGGGAGAATGCATACAGGAGGTATGGGGTTAGACAGAAAACCAAAACATGATAGCATTTGATGTCCCCACTCCAGAGGAACTAATACAAATCCTTAAAGAAATGGAGGTCAACATGAGAAGGGGATCAGGAACCAGTGTAAAGATCAGGTAGAAATGAAACCCTACATGAAAGCAATTCTAGAAATCTCTCTGTATAGCTGTCCTTATCTCAACTTGCAAAAGTGTTATGTCTTTCTGCTTATTTCTACTCTTCAATAGAACTGGATAAAAGTATAGAACAGGCTCTGCCTGGAAGGGGGTGGGGAGGAAGATGGTGGGGGCAAGAGCAGGAGGGAGAAATGACCTTAACCTGGACCTCTGCCTAAGAAACCTGGACCAGCAGAGCCCTGCTTTGACAGATGGGCTCTCAGCTGCACCCTGCTTTCTACTCTGGGTGGTGCCTTTGCCTCGTTTACCTGCGCAATGGAGGCTACTAGAGTCCGTGGCACGTGGGACTGCCACCCTTCAGTCCAGGACGCCAGACGCCAGAGGCTCCAACAGGAGAGGAGGACCCTGCAGAGCAACCTGGTCACCCCCATGCCCCAGCAGCTTCTCTGGCCAAGGTCACCCCACCCTGGACAGGAGGAGCAGCAAAGCTCAGACTCCTCTGACCAGGGTTCCTGTCCCCCTGCAGCCAGCCTACCTCCCACACTTGGTGGAGAAGAACTCTGGATATCTCCATTCTCCAGCTGTGGAATCTTTTCCCAGCCTTGTCCGCACTCAGGGGCAGCTGCCCATCCATCTCTGGCAGCTGGGGCCCTAGATAGGGGCAGGAGACTTTGATGTTCCTCTTTGGAAAAATTCTTCTAAGAAAATGTCTTTACTCAGGAAATAAAGAAGCAATGACATTAAAAAAAAAAAACAATGTATGCACATGTGAATAAATGTATAACAACAAAAAAAATGTGTGATTTTTAGAGGCTCCTTCCTTCTTAGGAATTGTAAAAGATCTAACTTTAATAGTTAGATCATAGTTGTAATCATTTTTATTCTGGTGTTGTTTTAAGTAAAAACTTAAGTATCAAACTGAGTATAGAAACATGAGACACCTGATCTATCACACAGAGCTATAAGACATACTTTTCTATGTACTGTTAAGCATTGTAAATGAATATTATAATCATAGCATTAAGTACTTTGTTCACTTGGTTTTCCATACTCTAAAGTGACTTTAATCTCAGGGGCCATTAGTTGGTTATGCAGCAGGACATTGAGTGCATTTTCCTTCTTCCCTTCAGAAGTTCTGATAAACATTTTTGACACAAACTGAGCTGCCTCAATTGGGAATTCACATTTCATGCAATAAGAGACCATTTTAATTTCATGAAGCAAAGGATTGTCTTCTACCTGCAAATAGCACTAAAGAAAGCAATATTGTCAAAAGAAGTGGCCTAGCATATCAAGAGATAAATCTGTTGCATTAAATACAAGATTGTCATTCCCTTTTATTCTACATTCCATGTGACGTAGTCATTAATTAAACCCATCAGTGGCTTCTTCAACTCTAGGAGAACATTTTCTTTGTGACAAGTAATGTCAACGAAGAATGTGTGGTATAGGAGACTTGCCAGGAAAACACCCTCCCTTTCACCTAGAGAGAAGCATAGGTGTTCCTACAGACAGAGCATAAGCACTGTATCACCATCCCATGCCCCCATCAGCTGTGATGATGGGGCTGACTGTTTTTTGCTTTGCTGAGCTTTCCAAAGATAAGCACATTTAAACCCTGTAACATCTCTTGTCTTCTGATGTTACTTCGTACATTTCGAATAATAGCAGAAAAACAAAACAAACAAACAAACAAAAAACATGGTGTTTTTGAGGAGTTAAATGCACCTGCAGTTACCTGATACGAAACAGAGACCAAATATCAGGTTCAATTTAAGTGCTTCCGGTGTTTGGAATGGTAAATCTGCAGGAACTCTAGGGCCTGTATAAAATTCATACAGATGGTTGGGGGAGGAAAGGGGGCAAGTGTCCCGGGATTTGAATAAAATGATGGAGAAGCCACATCTTAAAAATCTACCCCAAATCCTCAACATTGCATGCTGATGCTGCCGTTCTTCTCACCGCAGGAGAGCACTTACGCACCTGTCCTCAGGAATATACATGCTGTACCACAGAAATGGAAGACAAGTTGAGCCAACAAAGCAAACTCGAGTTTGAAAACCTTGTGGAAGAGACAAGCCATTTTGTGCGTACCACTTTTGTGTCACGGCACAAGAAGTTTGACGGTAGGTGGAAGAGTTTGGACTTCACTTTGTTACTTGTGTGCTTTTCTGTGAGAATTGTGCTATTCTGTGAAAAGCATTTTTTAAGAGAGGTTTTCATTCCCTCTTCAACGTTTATAATATTGTCTATTTTTACAAAAAGCGTGATCTTTCTTGACAGTCTATTATTTTTATAGTAATATCTTGGAAAATCTGAGTTAACAAAGAATGATTTGGCATTTGTGCTCTGAGATTAGCTCAAGTTTTCATTATTTGAATGTTTCTGGTTCAAGTTTTGTCACATTGTAGCTTGTCTTTAATTTTCATATGGGAATTTTCTTTTTAAAAAAAATACATCACTTTAGAGTATTTAAAGTAAAACATCATTTTTAAGAGAACAGGCTTGACAGTTAACTGTCACAGACAAGAACTTTTTAAGAAGACTTTATCAGTACAACAAGGTGGCATCTTATATAGTGGTTGTAACATATTCTGCATAGGGTTTACCACGCTCCCCTTTGATTTCTTGATCATGAGCAACCCCACTTCAGTTAACTTTATTTCTATAGTCTACTTTTTTTTTCTTCTGTGTACCATTCTGGAGGTACTGCAATATTGCAATACCAGGGTGAACTGAGCAAGCTTATATTCCATCTCCTTGCTCCAAAAATCTATTTAATTTATTGTCCTTGTCCTCAGATAGAGGATGTATCAGATAGTGAACCGATAAGAACAGATACTACACTTGATCTTGGCCAAAACTAAAAAGTGATGTACAGCTTGTTTGTTAAATAAACATTTGCATTAGAAACCACAAGGAACAAAAGTAATTATTACTGGGATTTTAGCATTGAATTTTCTCATGACAGCTTCAGAGAAATATTCAACTGCAACCTGATTTTTAAAAACACTATTCATCATTGTAACAGTAAGGTTAATATTTTTGGATAATGTATAGTTTTTAGTGCTCTGAGAAGTCAACATACCTTACCATGATTCATTGTAAACCAGATTTGTAAATTGTGGCAAGCCATCCTTGTGTCCCATTGGATGGATTATGTTGCCCTAAGGCAACAGAACTGCTATTTATTTTCTTTACTATCTTCAGGCAGTGCACAACAGAGCCAGTTAGAAAAGGCTTGCCAAAGTTTTCCCTTCTTAGGTAAAATGTTCTGTTTCGTTGCTACTTTAAACTGTTATTGAAACACTGATTTCTTTTCAAATTAATCCCTCAAGTTATAAAAAGATGGTGTAAGTCACTCAGGATCAGGTGACATTTTCCATGCAACTGATAGGGGCTTCATCTTTTCTGTAAGTGTGTTTTAATACCTTCACATTCTTTCTTTGTCTCTTGCTCTGTATATAACTTTATCTATGGACGTATGCGAAAAAAGCGTTTATGTGCAATGCTGTGAATGCTGTTCCTTTGAATGCAAGTAGGGAGTACTTGAGGGTTGTCCTTGATTGACAGATTACAAATTTAGCTGCATTCAGGAGACCCTGATGGGGCTCTGTGTTTGGGGGTCTATAATCTATCATTATAAATTGAGGCAAATTGTGACATGTAGCCTTTGTTACAGAAAACAGGTGAGGGTGATCTATTGCTGCTGATTTTTATCTATGTCTTTGGAAAACAACTCTAGTGCCTTCACAATGTGATACCCCAAGTGATGTGGAAATCATACCAGCACAGCATTCACAGTAAATAACATATATTGCTTTTAAGAAAAATATTAGATGTTAAGTAGCTTTACAGGGAATTGATTTCTTTTTTTTTTCCCTTTGGTAGTTTTATGGGGAGTTGATTTTTTTCGACAAGTAAAGGTTTTCAACAAGAGTTCTGAGCCAGATACTTCTGATATTATCATATCAATAACTTTTAATATCTTTGGATCTACAATACTTAATCCCAGATCTCATTTCTCTTAATTAAGAAACCTCTCTGTCTCCCTTTCGCCATTTCTTTTCACAGGTGTGTTTTAAATTGTGCTAATGTACTTAGGGGTCTGATGTCACTCACTTTGACAGGACATTGATTTTGCTAAGACTTAGCTGACGGGGTGGGGGTGATGAATTCTTTAGCAATGTTGCATTTCAGTGCTGTTGCATTAGGCTGCGTGGAAGAGAAGTTGAGAGTTTTTTTCAGGAAGATTTCAGCCACACTTAAAATCTAAATGTGATCCTGGTGAGTCAGCTCATGAAAAGTTCATTCTTAAAATACTACTAATAAAAACATATCAATTGAAAAGTCACCACCAGAATTTCTACTGTATCTTTGCCACCTTCAGTTGTACAATTTTGTGATATAGCTCATTATAGCACAAGGGTGACCCGGCTTGTGGACCTGTCATGAATGATGGTGCATTCATGTGGATTTGTTTTTTGTAATTGCTATTTCTGGGGATAGGACACAGGGCTTTGTGCATGCTAGGAAAGCAGAAGCACTAGCCCATTTCTTCCACTGAGTTATTTGTTTTTTAAAAGCACTTCCTCTTGGCATTTATTAATGAGTAGCAGTCGGTGTGAGTACAGAAGGATTATCTGTGATCAGTTGTGAAATGTTACCTTCTGAGTTTTATTTTCTGGCATAAAACTAATGATGCTACAAAGGATTTTGAGTCTATATTTGGTAACTTCCACTTTATTTAGCCATTTTACATTATTACTGTATTCTTTTGATTCAAAGTGTCCAGCTTGAGGTTCTTCCTCTGGCCCTAAATTTTCTGAGGTCTGGATTTGTCATTTGTATTTTTGATGTCTTTATTGGCTATAAGTTATATATGAACAAGTATGGTGTAATGAAAATCAGAAGGCAATGACTCCAACTTTTATAAAGTATAGCAACAATTACAATTTCACCTAATCGGTGATCCAGTCTACAGTATATTCAGAGAGGGTAAATTGAATCATTGTAATAATTAGTCTGTGGTTGTTGGTTTTCATATTATATTAGAGATACCTTGATTCCATTTAGCTTTTTATTTTCTGGCAGTGGTGACTCTGTGCAGAAACTTGAAATTCCAATACACTTAGCATGAAACCACATATTATTTATGGCCATATTCTTTCAGTTTTTAATTATTTTTTTTGGTAATAGCATACAATTGCAAATACTTGAAGTCCCCCAGGAATTTATATGAACTCTTCCCCAACTTTTCTGTATCACCAAGCTCTGCTCTTGTAGCCCCATTAGCACTAACATTTGCAGTCAAGAGACAGGCAGGGAATTGAAAAGTATACAGTGCTACTTGCAGATAGTTTATCTTTGGCAGACAATTAGCTGCATACACTTTTTTTTTCTTTATAAACATAAAATTTAAATACCCATTAATGGTCTGTATTTCTTGACACTGGCTCTTAAGTCTCCCGTATGGATTTTACTTGTTTGTATGCAACTCTTCCTCCTTTCTGTGACCACATCTCCATCTCTGCTCTCATTAGACTCCTCTGCCAGCTCCTCACCCTTTCCACTGGGGCCTGACCATTACAAAGCTCCCTTAGAATATACAGGGATGCTCTTTACATGCTTTGTAGCCAAGTCCAGCTCCCCAGGAGGTAAAATTGTGGATGAAAACTCTGCTAAGTGCACCTGGCGGAGTGATCACCACACATTCCTTTACTTCTCATCTCTGCCAAACATTCAGGTAGCCAGAAGTTCAAAATAAAATTACAAATTGTACCAAAATGCAATCAAAGGAAGGGGGAGGTCATCCTTGTGCACCTACTCATTTCACAAGAATTTTGTGTTTAGTGTTGTTCTAACCTGTCAAATTGGCGTTTGTGTCTAAATCCTCACTGCTTTCGTGCTTCTAAGTGTCTTGTTTGTTAGAATCCTAGGAAATCAAGAACTAAACATGCCCATAGCAATAACTGTAATAAGAGCAAACACCTGGTCCTATACCTCACCCTTTAATATGTTAACACTGTTTATCAGGAATAAACAGTAGTGAAAGTCACACAGATACACAGTGGTGGAGTCAGGATTTTATTCCAGACTGAGTGAGCCTGGATCCCTGCTCTCAGCCACTTCTATCCATAATCTCCAGAGTACTTTCCAGCCCCCAAATATGCTGACATTTCATGGTCAACCAGCTATCCCTCTATGTCCCCCGCCTGTCTTGTTCCAGTTATTTTGGGGAGGAAGTGGAAATGACTGTCAGAGTAAAGTGGAAGGAGATGTTTTTAAACCTTAAAAAAGAATATTACTTACCTAAATATAGTCCAGCTCCCAAGGAACCTGGAGCCTTGAGGGAAAATGACTTGCCAAGTTTCCAAAGAATGAGGAAACCAAGATTGTAACCTAAAACTTACATTAGTCTTATAAATAGTAATGTTATAGGAAATCAATATTTGGCTGAAATTCTAACCTTTTATTTGTTTTGAATAGACACTGGGGGAAAAAATGACTGAATCTTTTTAACCAGGCAATAATGAAGTTTGTAGGTAAAGAATCCAGCCACATTTTTGGAAAAGGTAAAACAATATTTAATTAGAAGTTGTTCCTAAATTAAAAGGGAATGCATAAAAGCTATCTTATCAATGAAGGCATATTATTTTCCTTGCTTCAAAAAACCTAGTGGCTTTGATCTTGGCATAAGCATGAGCACCCTTTTTCCCAAAGAATATCTGTGGAATACGTATTAGTCAGAGAGAAGGAAATTTGCTTGAATGAATACTATATTTTTGGTGTTTTTATCCTTTGGATATATTTGAGGTGAAATTTATTCACGTTTGGAGCTCCTTATGAAGTTTTCTTTTTGTTTGTTTTGTACATTCTTGATCCTATTATTTTATTTTTGCTCCTAGTTTTTATTTATGTATTTCAACGACATACATTTGTCCAAAGATTTTGCCAGCCAGTGCATTTTTAAAAGCAAAATAAAAAATGAACAGTAATTTCCATGCTCTTGAAGAACTTATTCTGTAGTAACGCTTGTGGAATACCCATTGCACTGAATACAGAAATAATTTATATATAGTGGTATAAAGCTGCAAATCAGCTTGTGTTTTCTTTTTAAATATCA